ACCCTTCTCACTTGCTCGACAGTGACATGAGGGAGTATTAGATAGACTGTCTGGGTGAGTTTAAGGCAATTGAAAGAAAGTGAAAGGGAGTATTAGACAATTTATGAGTAGCAGATCCCGAGTGGTACTAAACCATTATTCAAACCTATAGCTTTCCCTAGTGTAGGGGAGCGAAAGGGAATGGGAATGGGTAGGGGTGTAAATGGATCGAATTCGAATCACATCAGGCAATACCTGAATTTGAATCCGATTAAATATTCGAATTATCCGAATTCAATTTGATTATGTCGAATATCGAATTCGAAATCAGATTTTCGAATACCGTTGACAATCCTAGGAATGGGTACAACGCATGCCAAGATGAAAGTACTGTGATGCTTAGTACAATCATAGCAACAGCAGCATGTGATATCCCCAGGGATGTAAACAGATTGGGTACATTCCAATTTGATCTTATACTATCAACCATAGATTTAATTCGATCAAATATTACAAACATTGATTTGAACCTGAATTCGAATGTCGAATATCTGAATCTGATCTGATCTGATTTAATTTTTTAAAAGATATATATTAAAAAGAAAACAAAATTTAACAATTTATATAAAGAAAAACAAAAAATATAAATATTTTGTAATTGTTTCCATTATATATAAGTTTTTATAACAAAATAAATAATACAAAAAATTTTCAAAAATATAATATAAATATATTTAAAAATAAATAAATAACACACACATATATATATAGGATTAAATCCTTTCGAATCAAATAGAGCGTGATCCGACTTCAATCCAATTTTTAGTTAGATCCTATTATCCAATCTGATCCAAAAGTTTAAAAAGAGGATATCTGAATCCAACAAAATAGGATGAGATTTTGGATTAAGTCGAATCATAGTCCGATCCATTTGCACCCCTATTGATTCAGTCACAACATCAACATTTATGTTTACATGATCTCCATGAGGACGACACTATCTAGTCAACTGCATTGAGAACGAGGCTATAGGAGAGTTTTCCACTTCCAGACTTGACTGAATAGAATCTAATCCATGTAGGCATGTGATTTTGCAATTACCATTTTCAGGTCAAAACATCTTTCTAGAAAGAGGTGCTCATTACAAGCCTATCATATATGCCTAAGGACAATCACTCCTCTAATCAAACGAATGTTTTAAAAATTAAACCAGAATCAAAACCGCCCACCAACCTTTGCGTTAAGGGTTCGACCGTCTGGTTTTACAATTTTTAAAGATAAAATATTAAAAATTTAATTAAAATAAAAGCAGCCAAAACTATTGTCTCGATCAAAGGGATTGATGGTTTGAACATTCAGATTAGGTGTAAAACACCATTGGTTGATTGGATGGTTTTTGGTCCAATTACGACTGTTACATTGATAATGAATAAATGTGTTGTGCTCATTTTGGTTCAGTCTAATTACGAATACATGTGTTGAYTACAACCTAATTTTATATATTTAGTTTATTTAAATATTTTAAATATTTAAGTAATATTTATAAAATATTATAATATTTAATA